GTCGTTATCAACTCGGCCGCGGTATTATAAAAACACTAATCTATCTTCAGCTTTCCTTGTAAAATTAATGGTGTAACTTAAATATATATTATCAAATCAAAGCACATGTCCAAAACTTGAATGTGTGTTCCCATGCACTTTGTTTGGTCATAATTATTGCGATCCACCTACTTTTAGTCATGGACTGATTCACTTTATTTGTAACACCCTGTATAAACATTCAATCGTTTTGCTACTCCGTTTCTCGTCGACATTCAAGAATCTATTTGGTTATGAAAAACGACAGTTTTATTCGATACATTATAGTGTTAAAACTTTTTTATTTTAGTTCTAAGTTCATTCTAATTATTACCAGCAATGAAAACATAGGCCTAAATTGAGAATTTATTCGTTTGGAATTGATAGAAGCTGCTCCATTTTCAATTAGTAAATTTATCTCAATTTTTACATGAACGAACAACATTGTTTAGCATTTCTGGATGCATACTGCTAAAAGATTATGAATATTTATCACTTAGAAATACCCTTATAAAATATACATGTTTTATTTGAAAGATGAATTTCAAAAATGGTAAGATCGTAAAATCTCTTTGCTATTCGAGCGCCATCCACAATTTTCACATTAATATCTCCACATCTTTATAATTTTATATATTTACTGGTAATTCCACATTTTTATCTCTATTGATATTTTGATTTTTTTAATGTTGCTTACATATATTCTCTCAATTTGCAAATATATAGATTTATATTATGTTTATATTACAGGATTATTGTAATGCGATGTGATCCCGATTTATAAGAGTATCTCATAAAATGGGACAAGCGAATTCATTATTTCTTATAGTTAAAATTTGTACCTCGTTCTGACATTATCTAGTCACCTTAGCCACATTTCCAAATAAAATTAAAGTGCTAACAACACCTATTTATATTTCAATCAATAATTTTAAGTAAACTAAACTAAAAGTAAATTAAATTGTTTATTGGCTTATTCACAGTTATAAAAGGAACAAATACAAAATGAGAGAAACTTATTCGACATAAAAGGAGCAGATAGTTATCAGACATTTCTTCATTTTATTATAAGAAAACTAAAGTTAGTTAAGACAATAAATAAGCAGAAATAAATAAAATAGAGTAAGATAATAATATTTATAATTAATAAAATTGCAATCATCGATAGAAGAAATTGTAATATACAGATAAAGTTTGCTAAACTGCGCAACCTTGTTAGAAACGAATGACATTTTCCGTAACGAACGAATATACTGGTATACACGATGTGAATGAAACAAAGAAAATAGGAGACTGGAATCAACGAGCCATCTATCCGTAGCATGCGGGAATCTTATCTGGTTGCACTATTGTTTCGTAAATGAGGAAAAGGATAAAAGCAAATATCTCATCGTATCGAATTCCTTAAGTCGAGTAGTCCTATTCGTAAATCGAGATCTTACTCACGGGGGGATTTAGAGATTGTGCAGGGCACAGCTACATTCCCCCTTCTGAGAGTTTTTCTCCAGTAAAGTTGAATATCTCAGGTAGCAAAAAATTTTGTAAGACATATTGTTTTCTTTCTGCACTCCTAAAGATTTCTGGATCTATTATTGATCCTACTGTATATTATTGAAACAATATCAATTTTTTGTTGTAATTTACTGAGTAAGTATTTCAATTAGTTTTCACCACTGTCATTCGTTTCATAAATAAGATAGTAGGAAATAAATATTAAGAAACTAATAACTGACTGAATTGCTTATTATTATTATTATTTAAAACTATCAATAAGTAAACATTTTAAATGTGTGATTAAAAGAGGTTATCAGAGGTTACTTTTAGCATAAGGTTATTCGATTTAAATTCTACTTGAATTCTCGTTAGAAAGGAAAAACAAATATACTACTTTACAGATTATATTCTTATCTTATATAAATACATAGAAAACGAAATATAATAGGCTTATGGTGGACTGCAAATACAGTACAGTAGTGCCTCGTATAGCGTACGCCTCGAATAACGGACTTTCTGTTTGGCCGTTACGTGACTCGAGCAACGGACTTAGTATTATTAGAATATATTATTAGTATATCTAAAGTACAGAGCTCCCGTTGGGATTCGGCTTGCTCCCTTGTTTATTACGTACATCACCTCAGTGCAGATTGTACAAGTGTTGTACAAATCATGGCTTCTAAAAAAACAGAAAGGTGATTTCAATTGAAACAAAGAAGAAATCATCAGAAGGAGTGAAAGTTGACAAAAACTTCCTTGTCAAATGGGGAGAGGTTCAGGAGTTTACCAACACTCATTATCCAAACAGAGCTGAGGCCAACAGGATCAATGATCTCTACAATGACACCCTTGCCCGTCATTTCCGACAGGTGTTGAAGAAGAGAGAGAAACAGACCACCTTGGACATGTTTTTCAAGAAGCCAGCTGCCAAAAAACAAAGGATGGAACAAGAGGAGATGACCCTGCAAGCTCCGGTAACCTCTCCTGATTCTTACTCCGATTAAAAAAACAATAAAAAGAGACCTGCTGCAATGTGTAAAAAGTCTGTATCTGTATGAATGTGTAAAGAAAGTGTTCCTCCACCTCCTCCTCACAACATTTCACTACCCGGCATAATTGGTGACTGCTCCATTTTCATTTTTTTTATGGAACAGTACGGTTATTTTATGCTGCGGAACGAATTATATGTTTTAACATGTATTTCTATGGGAAAATGCGTTTCGTATAACGGATGTTTCACTTAACGGACGTGCACCTGGAACGGATTAAGTACGTTGTACGAGGTATCACTGTATATATTTATATTGTCCACATACAATTCACTGTAGTATTTCTGTTATAGCATTAAGTTAACATTTAATTTAAATAAACTATATATTTTTAATTCGTATACAGTACTGTATAAAAGTTTAATGCTCGTATTATTTAGGGGCGGATAATATTTAAGAAAATATGATTTAATCACTAGTTTATGTTAGAGTACGTTATACTATAAAATGAAAAATTGTTTGTAATAAAACTCATAACAGCACAGTTAAAAACATGTATTTATAATGCTGCGAATGCTTTCGTCATTTGAATAAAATGGTGCCAATTCTCATCACATTTTAAAATATCATTCCCAAGAGGTCAGGGAAGTTTCAAGCGTACAAATCTGAAGCTATTTCAATATGATCATGCGGAAGTCGGACGAACAGTTATAGCAAAAATACATTTTTGTTTGGCTAATGTGTTTCATTCATCTGACTTTGAAATTAAAAGCAAACAAATAAAAATCACACCAGATTAATATAGGTACAGTATTATAAAATCAATATGTATGCAAAATAAATTTTTACCAATGTTAAACTAACTTTTTTTCATTTTTAATAAATAAAACTGAGTTTTCTAGAAACAAATTTAATAATTTTTACTTTATAAAAACTTGTTGATAGATTTTCAGAACCGAAATAATAAATTAGCTAAAATTCATAAACAAACTGCATGAAATTAATTTCTTTCATGAACTCAAACGATTAAAAATAAATTTTTAAATCTACAGACCAATATCTATAATCAAATTAATATTTGGACAAACTCTGTTAATATATTGGAATTTAGTACTTAAAAAAGTTGAATAAACACAGGTTTTTATTTTTAAACGTATCTGTAACATACACCTGCTCATTTCAACAGTATAGCTTTTGAATATTTTAAATGTCGTGTAATTTTCTGGCTACTTTCAGTTGGTTAGCCCTCAAGGATACTTTTCTGAAAATATATTTGAGTCCCAGCAATGTGTGAAGGTTATTTATTAGCGCATATAACTTCGTTTAATATTATAAAAAGAAATATTGTGCGTTCGTATCTGTTTATATAAATATATACTAAAAGAATTAAATTAATCTAAAAACGGATTTATTATTAAATATATTTATTACACAGACTTGTTAAAATTCTAAATTAATTCATTTTTAAAGGAGATTAAAAATAACTAACTATAACTGACATTTTATTAATAATGTAGCCTATATATTCCACTTAATATACATTTTTATATAAAGAATAATTATAAATAAATCATAGCCAAAAATACAGTATTCAAGAAAAAATTATAACGTTTTATAATGTTTAATTTAAATCAAACTATTTCATTAACATTTTAATTCATTCATTTAATTCATTTTGATTTATTTAATGATCAAACTATTTTTAAACTCATGGAAGATATTCAACAATTGATTTTTACCTACAGAATTCACAATAATCAAAATAGTATATAACTTTAAATATTTAACTATTCCATATATGTATGTATAATAGCTAAATATTTCAATTAATTGCAATTATTTTCAATGTAAGGATATATTTTAATTTTTTCAGTTACCCAAGCAATAAATGTATATATATAACTGCAGTAATGCTACATAAGTTATGTTAAATATAAACAATATGTTGAGTGTAGTAGTCTTATATGAGAAGTCATTAAGTCTCTAAAAACAGATTTAAAATAATAATAATAATACAGTAATTACGACTTGTATGGAGTTTCTTTCAGCTCTTTTGGCATAATTTATGTATTTTTAAATATATGTAAATCTATTTTAGTTCTATTTTTAAATTTTAATTTCATCTTTCTCTAATACAAGAGAAAACATCTTTTAAAATGTAAATATAAAATGTAAATTAATATAAAAATAAAAAGTTAATATTAAAAAAAAAACATAAAATTTAATTTAAATCACATATTTTGCACAAAATATATAAGCTTGAAAGATTTCGACTTTATAATTGGCAGATATTTTATTTTCGATTTAGATTTAAGTTTTAATTTCGTTCATACAAGCTATCTAGAATAGAGCTAATTATTATAGAAATTATAGCTAATACACTAAAAATTAAAGAAATTAAAGGCCTTTGAGACCAATGTCATTAAAGTGTATCATAATTTTCATGTTTATGTTATCATCATATTTATTGACAAATTCATAAATATAAAAACAACTTACTGATTGGGTACAGCATTTTGCAAATCATCTAATAAACTTTCTACAGAACTGTTATGTTCTTGGAGAGATTGTCTTTGCAAAGTTGGACTTATAGTGCGATGGGGCAAAACTGGTGATGGAGGAACTGTTATTTGAAAATAATAATTTATTAGTTTTATCGATCATGTAAATAAAATTGTACTGTTAAGTATAAAAATAAAAAGTTGACCCCGAATATAAAGAAATTTCTAAACTTAAAATATCAAAAATAGAAATGTATCTAATTATACCTTTTCTAGTTGGATAACTTCCATATCTGGCTGAATTTAATTCTTCCAAAAGTGAATCTAACTCAGATAAATTTGCGTTTAAATTCGATTGATCTTTCGGTTTATCGTGTAAATAAAAATCTTGATTTTGATAAATGGGCTGAAACAGTTGAAAAATAAATAAATAAAGTATTGAAATGTTGGTTCATAGCAGAAAAACTGATTAGAAATTTTATGATATATAAAAATATTTGATTAAACTTAAAAAGACCAAACTAAAATCGATTTTCTTTTTCTTTTACTAAAATTTAGAATATCGAAATGACATTCTGAATGTAATATTTTTCTTAAACAAAAACTCATTTCTTTTAAACGAGCATCATATCAACATTTTTAAATGTTTTCAAAGCTATCGTTTTTAGCTCTTAACACAGCTTGTATAATATTACTTTTTTAAATGCTAATATTTATTTATTTATTTATTTTTGCAAAAATAGAATAGAAAAGAAGTTTAGAGGACACATCGTAATTTAAAATATTAAAAATAACTTTATCAAGATTAAAAACGAAGAATTGCAATATTTATCAATTAAAATTAATTAAGGAATGCCACTTACTATATATGGAAAAGCCGACATAGAAGGTGACCTCTGTTTTAAAAACTATCATGTAATTAAATAAACAAACGCCTACTGCCTGATTATAAACTTGGTCAAACAGGTGCATTTAAAAGAATTAAAAAAAAAAACACTAAAGAAAATTGGATGATCTCCTAATTTCTTCTTAATTACCTAATGATTCTAAGAATTATGGAGCGGAAAATTTAAAATAAAAACAACTAGTTATTTTACCCTTCATCGTTGACACCTTTTTGTGTGAATTTAGTAACAAGATCATTTCCATAGTCTAATTCTTAATTATTAATTTATTTACGTTAAAATTAAAACAGAATTACAAATTAAATTGAAAAAATACAATTATTATTATTATCTTGTCTAGGAAAATTTTTCATCACATTTATGAATGGTTATTTAATAGCATTTACTAATTAGCAATTTTCTTTTTTGATATAAAAGTCAATGTTTTAACCTGATTTATTTACAAACAGGCTAAAACATAACTGAATTAAAATAGAATAACATTATAATATAACAAAGCATACTTAAATTAAAATTTAAAAGTTTTGTTAACTTATATTCTACAAAATGCAGTCCTGAGATTTTAAGTTTTATCCTATGCCATTTAAGGATATGAAACTAGATCTAAACATATGCAAAAATATATATAAATACAAAATAAAATGTATTAAAAGTTTGTGTATTAATAAATAAATGATAAGCTGTTCAATAATTAACGATACGAATAATTAACTTACCGATTCTCTAGGTTTATACTCGTATTTTTCGGTAATTACTTTACGATTTGTTAATGGGCTTCTGGACACTGATCTCGGTTGAAATCTTGGACTCGAAGATCCGTGATAATTAGAAGTTGGTGCTATTGTTTTATAACTTGGAGTCGAATTTAAATGGGCAGTAGTCGATTGCAAATCGGCCAAAAGAGCATCTGTAACAATGTTAATATAATAAGTCACTTGATTACAGTATTGAATTTTATTTCACAGTTTAAGATATTTAAAATGTATCTGAAATGATTAAAGATAATTCTCTTTAATAAAATTTAAATCAATTTTGTTGAAATTTTGAGGGGTTAAATTTAAGATAATTTTATCCGAAGATTTGGGCTTATTCGGTAATAAAACTATTTCCGGACTGTCTGGAGAACTTCAAAATGATTATCAAGTTGACAGGAAAAGCAAAAGTTTACCGAAGACGAGTTATATTTAGTACGAAACATGCACATTTTGAGTTTGCTTCGGTCGTCCTTATTTGGTTGGAGTGTATTAGTTCGTTTCGTGATCACCAGAATTTTTTAATATTTCATATTATTAAAAATTACTTAAAATTTTTCATTAATAGAAAAACCAACAATCTGTCTAAGTAATTTTTTTTCATAAATAGTTTATTATTACGATTTATAAATATAAACGCAATTAAAAAAATTCCAAAGCATATTACTGACAACTGAAAACTACGCCATCTATATTCAAACAATTTTAATGATGGTTTAATATCGCGCCATCTGTGAGATTCTAAAATAAATATGTGTGTATATATATATTTTTAATGAAATAAGTTTAATGTATTATTAATTAATGTAAAAGATGTTTACTTTTATTCGCATATTAATTAAAATAATTTTACTGTGTAATTCATATAGTAAAACAACTGATAAAGTATTCGTTATATTTTAATTTAAAAAAATGATTGAAATAACAATTTTGTTAAATACAAGACAATTCGTCTACATGTAAAAAGCTATCAGTTAACGTAGAGAAATGGTCTTTTAAAAATAACGACACTTACTCATACTTCGACTTTCGTATATCGATGGATAGTATATACAAAAATTTATATTAAAGACGTCAATTTATCTAAAAAAATTATTTAAATGCACGTGTGAAGTCTTCTTAAAACTTTAATGAAAAATTTTCACCTTCATAGAATTCGTCAATACCACGATGCATTCACACGATGCATTCACATAAACATAAAGTCATTGATAAATATAAACGGTATAAATGAATGTGGGATGATAACAGGCGTATGCAGCACACCCAACATGTCCCACACACAAAATAAAAAAAACTGTTTATGCAATTATTAGATAAATATTTACAGAAAAAGATTAAGATTTAATAATTTCTTAATTCTCAAAATGAGAACATTCAACTATTACGTAAACATAATATCCTTCATTTTCTCCCCATATAAATTACTGTAAATATTTTTCTATCTAAATTACAATAGACTGTGTTGATTTGCCCCCTTTGTATTCTTATTACAATACGGCGATACAATAGACACGAGATTTTATAATATCAATTTGGTATAATAAAACAAAGCTCAACACAGTCGTGGCCCGCGAAGTCCTAATATGCTTCCCCGGGATTTTGACAACGTAATTTTATTTTCCTGTTTTCTGTCTCCTGTAACCTCATTTAAGCTGATATTCATGACGAAGAACATTCAAGCTAAACTTGACCAGTAAAAAGAAGAGAATAAACTATATATTGCTAGTTTGCATATCATTAGCATATAGGCTATTATATATGTTTTCTTAGTTCCTAGTGTACTGGAAGTTACGGAGTATGTTGTTACTCAGTAGGCTTAAAGAAAAACTGTATGCGCCGGAAGCCCATAAAGTTTCCTTGAGCTTCTTATGCAGAAAAAATTGCTCATTACTGCTCTAACATTTAAAAACTGAGATTTATTATCATGTATAACTTAAAATTTTAATTTATAAATTTTTAATGCACTTACAATTTCAGTATTTATAACATTTCTATATATCTTTGATTATGTCCAGGAAACGATCATTTTTGATAATTTCCTGAACATAATCAAAAGTCGTCTTAAAAATATGTCTTGCACAAGCGTTGATTCGACCTTCCTCTCTCCAAATAAACAATTTAGATGTTTTTTCATTTCTCCCTTTAAAGGAAACAGGTAGAAACATTCTTCTCAATACGCACCTTTTTTTAAATGTAAAACTTGAATGTTTTCAAAGGAGATTAAAGCAGAAATTACGAATTATTAAACAAATAATCTATTAATAATGTAATAATTACCTCAAAACTACATGTCATTTTAATTCAATTTAATACAATCACTGTACTTTAAAACTGATGTATCGTATTTTGTTAGACGTTGCGCGCTGATGTTATAACCACTGTAAAGATTCCTAGTTCTAATTCGATGTAAATTTGTTAAATTCACATGGATTTTTTTTTTTATATTGAAAGATCTCATTCTCATCTGTCACTGATATTGATATATTCTATTGCATTTCAGATGCGTTAGCTATCTGTTTATAATAGGCAAAATTGCCTATTATAAACAGCCTATTGTGCGCTGTGCTACACGTTACAAATTCAATTTAAATTAATTTACGATCTACTAATTTTATGTATAAAAGTTTAAATATATTCTTTTTAATAAATGAAATCAATGATTTACAAAGAATTACTAAAAATTCCATTCAGTTATTCCTATCTAAGTCTTCTCGATTACAGTATTGTCAATTAGATATAAACATCTAACATCTTTGCAGTATTTAAAATTTCAGGATTATAAAAAGCATTTCAATATATTTAACAAAAGCATGCTGTATATATTAAGTATAAAATACTGTATTAAGAATAAAATATTCTATTTTTGCATATTGTATTTATAAATTATATTCTAATCTTTTTACCATGAACTATTTTGAAAATTAATTTTCTGTTCGTTCAAAAATCAATCCTTTTTAGGTTTGATTTTTTCACAAATAAATAAACAATTGATTCAACCATTTTCTGAGTAATTAGCCATCGCGCAGCTATTTTCAAATCATATTCTTTAATTTTAATATGCACGTACAATGTTAACTTCCTTTACATGAATCCTACATTAATTCAACAATAGACTTATAAATAACAGACAAGACATTCCATTATTTGCACCTATTTGTGTACCCATTGGAAAATTTAAAATATTTCTTTAAATTATTTATATTTACGTTTTATTTGCCAATTTTTGAATTATTAAAAATAAAATTCTTTCGTATTTTCGTATTTATATTATTCAACTTCATTAAATTGTTTGCTATAACAATAAATAGGTACAGTTAAATACTTTTAATCACACTGTTTTTCAAAATATCCTCTGCACAAAATTCTGTTTTCAGATAAAGATTAATTGCTACAAGATTAATTTATTTCAATTCTTTCATAAACACATTGTAATCTCGCTAAATTAAACTATTTCGTTCCATATCAGGACATTTTAATCACGTTTTATCATAGATTATGTCAGACACACAATACTGACGATCGGGGAACCGGACCCGACATATCCGGATCAGCTTACTCCTCAAAATTTCTAAATCGATCCTATCAGTCTATAAAAACAAAGCTATTCAACTTGATATCTCGCGGAGAAAAGCAGTCCACAAAGATTTTCATGCATATAATTCACAATAAATATAAATTGCATATAATTATAAGAGAGAATACGAAAATATTTTAAATGTAAGTTTTATCTAATGAACCTTTTTTAATAGCTAGACAAATAAATTTATTACGAATGGCACCGGCACACAACAGTTATTCTTAAAGTCTTAAATTACTATTATTAAAATGTCAGACGGATGAAAGCATGCAAAATATTATCCATATCCGCGTTAATTTCATGGGTCGTTCAAGTCGCGATGATGTTCTCCATCATTCAGTCATATTTGCCAGGAAATTATACCAAGAAGCAGGATCACTGATATTAGGTGAAGACGTGGCCAAATATGTAACTTATGGATTACTGTCATCATGTTAAAATATTCATTTTGTCTTCATTAAAATACGAATATTTATGTACTATACTTCATTAAAATAAATATACAGTACATAAAACAGTTGATGTGTATTGTTATTTCGATGGATCTTACAAATCCAGAAGACTCTATACTCTGAAATCATCACTTAGAACAGTGTTTTTCAACCTTCTTGAATACGCCACCCCTTTACAAGTTAAAAAATTCTGACGACCCCCAGGGCCATATTAAAACTATATCAGTGATTTTAAAAACTACGTATTTAATTTTCTTTCTTTAAATATCGATCGAAAAACCAATTGTACTGTAAAATAAACAGGCACAGCCTTCTCACTGAAATTCTAGTTTTTTTTATTGTAGTGTAGGACTTACAAACACTTGTTTTTTTCTTTAACCCGCGACCCCCCGTGTAAGGCTTTGCGACCCCCTGGGGGTCGCGACCCACAGGTTGAAAAACACTGACTTAGAATATGATTCACGGACCGTGTGGCGCCTTCATTAATTACGCAATGCTAACTCATAATAATACACAAATTCAAGTTTCATGGCAACCTATATTTTCCGCATGGTACTAGCCAGTGATGGCGAACCAGTGGCCCGCTTGACGATTTCAAAGTATCCGTATTGAATGTTTAGAAAATATTACTTTTTATAAATTATAAATATATATAGGGGAGACCGGGGCAACTTCGGCATGCGGGGCAAGTTTGTCAAGCGCTTTTTTTAAAAAAACAAATTAAAAGGAGACTTTGGTTATAGGTTAGGCAGTTGAGTTTTATTGGTGGCTTGTTGAGTGTAGTGTTTTTATTGTTCTCCAACAAGCGTAGTTGAATTATCAAGCAAATTTTCATTTTCGTTCAATTCCATATAATATTTTTTTTCCATTTATATTGAATTGGCAGGTTTTGTTATAATTCCATGATAACGAAAGTTACTTTTCCTGTTAGAAGGATGTAACTTCAACTTATTCACGTGGCCAGATCGTGGCTTGGCATTCTGTTCTCAGGGTTGTACTTAATGTTTCGAAATCATGACTAGCGGGGTAAGATCGGCAACATAAAGCCACATTAGAAGCAAAGGATAAAAATCAAACAGATGATAAATGAAAACATGTTTGCATTTGTTATTCATGTATATAT